GGTGCAATTCTGCTCAGCATATGGTTAAGGACTGCCCAGTTCCAGACAGACGTATTTGCAAGTTTTGCGGTCTAGTGGGTCACAACATCAATAAATGTTTAAAACTAGAGAATCTGTTAAAAAAATCTAAGGATGAAACAGTTCCAATTAATATTGTACAAAATCTTAACAATATATACAAGAAAGAAGTTCGCGTTGGAAGAACGCAGTATCGTGGCTATTTGGACACAGGCGCCCAAGTGAATATTATAACACTGGATATGGCAAAGTCCTTAAATTGCCCTATTTTGGAATCAAAAACTACTCTACAGGGATTTACGGGTGACACTGTGCCAGCTATGGGTCAGGTACAATTAACAATGACAATTGATGGATTGGTATTTGATACAACTGCAGTAGTAACACATATGAAACTACCAGCGGAGGTCGATGTGCTCGTTGGGCAACCAGTAATTAATTCGGCAGGAATATCGTTGATTACTACTCAAAATTCAGCTCAGTTAAAAAGAAATATCGTAGAAGATGAAAACATTTCAGACGGAAAATTTAGAGTAACCGCTAGCTCTGAAGTACGAATATCGTCTAATGAATCTCAAATGGTGCTAGTAAACGTAAAAGGAAATTCTGATGACTGTGATGTATGTACTACGCCGAGAATCCACAACATAAATAATCAATATTTCGTCATACCTGCAGCTCTAATAACAGGAGAAAAAGGGCTTGTGCGAATATATAATATGGGAACAGATCAAGTCAGCTGGAAGGAAGGTGAGACGATAGTACGAGCAGTACCATGTACTCCAGTCGGTAGTACTGTTGAGGGCAAGACCACTGATGATGATGGAAGCGAATCACACATGCTTCAGGCCGCAAACATTGAGGTGCGTAAGAAATTTTAAGTATTTAATCTGTCTGGGAGGTTTCCCGTGATTCTGATACTCTGTCTAATTTCTGTCTGACTTCTGTTCTGTTTTTTTTTTAAAAAAAATCTATTTATTGATTTCTGTTCTGTTTATATGTCCGATTCTGCTCTGTTTCGTTCTGCTCTGTCTGACTATTTTATAATGCTGTGAGTGTACAATATTCCCACAGTATGCGTTTGAATCTAATAATAAGGGCCTTGTCGTCAGCCACTCGAAATACTAGAGCGATAAGCTCGCTAACATAAACAAAAAATAAAGAGGGAGTAAGAATTGTAACTGAAAATTAACTTTTGGTGTGTTGCGCCGACAATACAAAAACAGTTATTCTTCGAAATACTTTTAAAATGTGTGTGGTAATTTTTTTTAAGTACATATTGATTTATATGTATATTATTTATTGTATTTATTCTTATCGATATTTTGTTATTTTAACTCTGTTTGTTGTTTGATTATTATACTACAGGATTGGCTTAACCTACTTGAAATAGAGTAGGAGTATTTTTTTGTCATAGATATTTTCTTTACAAGTATTAAAAAAAAAAAAAAACTTTATTTCTTCTCTCCTTTCACAGCGGCCTTACTTACAACATGAAGAAAATAGGAATGAAATAAATAATGTAGGGAAACTTAGGAAGGAGCGTAGCATCGAATACTTACGCACTTGCGTTATAGCTAATACACCGTTGTCAAATATTGATGTAGGAAATTTAAACTGTAATGAACAATGCCGATTATTTGAACTACTTATACAATATCAGGATTGTTTTGCGAAGGACACGAATAACTTGGGTTGCACTAACTTATCTGAAATGGAAATAGAATTAAATTCATCTACCCCCCGTTTTTCATAAGCCATATCGCATGGCCCATAGAGAGCTCGAAATCGTAAGAAGTAAAGTAAAAGATTTACTTGATGCCGGAATAGTTAAAGAATCACAGTCGAATTACGCTTCACCAGTGATACTTGTGAAAAAGAAAAACGGAGATAGTCGTTTATGCGTTGATTATCGCGCTTTAAATGCGATTACGATTAAAGATAGGTTTCCTTTACCACACATAGACGACCAACTAAACAAATTATCTGGAAAATGTTACTACACTAGTTTAGACTTGGCGCAAGGTTACCACCAGATACCACTTTCTAATAACTCTACTAAATACACGTCGTTTATAACTCCTGATGGGCAGTGGGAATACACGAGGGTACCATATGGACTTGCTAATGGACCCGCAGTATTTCAGAGAACGATATACAAATTGTTAGGGACACTGCGCTATGAGGAAGTGTTAACATTTATGGACGATTTATTGTTGCCTTCAATAAACATTGACTGCGGTCTTGTTATATTGGAAAAGGTGTTAAAACTTTTGAGGGAAGCCAATTTAAAACTTAATTTACAAAAATGCGCATTTCTCAAATCAGAAGTAAATTATTCTGTGGTATCTCCTGACGGAATTCGGCCAGGAGATCGAAAATTGGACGCGGTCAGTAACTTTCCCGTACCCGTCAATGTCCACCAGGTGCGACAGTTTATTGGTCTATGTTCATATTTTCGCAAATTCGTTCACAATTTCGCGATTATAGCAAAGCCACTCACTGATCTGACAAGGAAAAATGTCCAATGGGTTTGGAATGATAATAAGGAAGAAGCTTTTACCAAATTAAAGACTTTGCTAGTAACCAAACCTGTTCTGGCTCTGTATAACCGGGAGTATGTAACTGAGATTCATACCGACGCCTGCAAGATAGGCATAGCAGGAATTCTGATGCAAAAGCAGCCTAGCGGAGATCTGAAACCAGTTATATACTTTAGCAGAGTTACCACGAAGGAAGAGATGGTCTATCACAGTTATGAACTGGAAACCTTGGCTGTGGTAGAATCACTAAAGCGGTTAAAGATCTATGTAACTGGCATCCATTTTAAGGTTGTAACCGACTGCTCTGCTGTGCGAAGTACACTTACAAAACGCGATCTCGTGCCACGGATCGCCAGATGGTGGCTCCAAATTCAAGATTTTGACATGGAAATAGTATACCGACCTGGCACTAGTATGCGGCATGTTGACGCTTTAAGCCGCAACCCCGTTTCCGATGTTTTAAACATCACAGAAATAGATGACTGGTTCCTGGCGGCACAGTTACAAGATAACAAATTGCATTCCATTTATACCCAGCTCAAAAGTGGAGATCCTAGCAGTGACGTCAAAAATAATTACAGCCTTAAAGATGAGCGAATTTATAGAAAGGCTTTGAATGGTGAGCGTTTAGCTGTGCCTAAAGCAGCTAAATGGCGTATTGTAAAGAAGTTTCATGATGATGTTGGTCATGTAGGGTTTAAACGCTGTGAAGAGGCGATAAAAGCTGATTATTGGTTCCCACGAATGACCAAATTTATTAAGAAGTATGTTGAAGCGTGTTTGGAATGCTTGTTTAAAAAGGGTAACTATGGAAAAACAGAAGGCAAAATTTACCCTATACCGAAACCGGACGAACCAATGCACACAGTGCACATTGATCATGTGGGTCCATTCCCTAAATCGACAAAGGGAAGCCAGTATATACTGGTAATAATAGATTCCTTCACTAAGTTTGTCGTCGTTAAAGCAACAAAAACCCTTCGGTCTACCGAAACTGTGACAGCGTTACGTGATGCATTTGCCATTCTTGGTTATCCGGTTAGAATAGTTTCTGATAGGGGATTGTCATTTACCAGCCGATATTTTCGAGAGTTTTGTATTACGTATAAAATTCGACATACGCTGAATGCTGTAGCAGCACCTCGTGCCAATGGCCAAGTAGAGCGAGTCAATCGGACTGTGCTTGATGCTATCCGTACGAGTACCAATGAAACTAGTAGTTGGGATACCGCGATACCTGATATAGTTAGTGGAATAAATCATACAGTTAATGATACGACAAAGTTTAGTCCGTATGAACTAATGTATGCGAATAAAAAAAATTTGATCCCGGGTTTGTCAGCTAGAAACGGAGAAGTTAGTTGTGAAGAGAAGCGAGCAAAAGCCAGTGAAAATATCAGAAAGAAACAGGAATATATGAACACCAAGTGCAACAAAAACAGGAAGGAAGCCAGAAAATACAAGAAAGGGGACCTAGTTTTGTGGAAGAAGGCATCTACGAGTTCTGAAACGGGAGTTAATCGAAAGATTGACAAAATATATGCCGGACCATATAAGGTAGTTCAAGTGTGTCCGAACGACCGATACAAAATCCGAAGTATTAAAGGCATGAAGGGTTATAAAAACTTTAATGCAATGGTGCCTGCTGATGCTCTGCGACCTTACAGAAGTTCTGTCACCTGTGAGACTGAATCTGAAAGTGATGCTGATCTTGTAGACACACAGGATTTGATTGATCTTTTAGAAAGTTAGACAATGGTAAATTCTGTTCTGCTCTATTCTGTTGGGTTCAGCCAATTCTGAGTAGGTATAAAAACAATTCTTCTTACTAATGCTTCCTAATGTGAATACCTGACGGTATTCACTTTCAGGATGGCCGATGTTACGCGCGCTCCTAGTAACAGGCGCTGGAAGGGTGTGCCTGCGGTGCGGGCGGGGGATATGGCGCCACTCTGTCGCGGCACGGAAAACTACCGGTACTTTTGACTCAGCGTGCGCGCCGGATTGTGGTCTTTTATTTTAATATAATTTGAAAAGTGTTTGTCAAGATTAATTAAAGATTGTACCTAATAACTGTGTTTAGACTTTCTTGTTACAATTTTAATATAATTTGAAAAGTGTTTGTCAAAGATTAATTAAAGATTGTACCTAATAACTGTGTTTAGACTTTCTTGTTACTAATTACTTATTTATGTAAACGGCGTTAAAAAAAAAGTTTCAACTTTCAATCGCCTACAACGCGCTAGCCCCGACTGTGTATGCAGCCCGGACCGTCTCGCGATTGTAGATAATTATTTCACGCAGGTAGCAAGAGTGACAGAGGCTTGACTATCCACAATCACCACAATGAGGTTCTCTTATTTTATGCTCTTAGCTTAACGCAATTATAGATCATAGTTATCAGTTTTAGTTACTCTATATCAATCTTTATGTTCACAGCATGGCGCCGTTAGTGGAGCCCCCTGCTGTAGCCCGGATTTTGGACTGGGCTGAGCGTGTTTGGCCCGGAGCTGCTGACGGACCACCAAAGCCTTGCGTTCAGAAGTACTGTCTCATGTCAGCGTCTGGATCCTATACAGATTTTCACATTGATTTTGGTGGGACCAGCGTTTGGTATCACGTGCTGCATGGGCGTAAGGTATGACTTGATTTTGTCTCCTTATTATTGAATTTGTCCAATTGCATTATCTTGTAATGTTTTCTCTAATGACAAAAATTGATAAACTAAAAAGTAAAATTGCGTTTAAAGATGTTTAGTATTGCCAGGTAGGCAGAATTGTTCAGGTAATCAAATATGGATTACTTGAATACTACTATAAAAAGTGGCAACAATACTGATCAAATAATAATTTTGGTAGACTTCCATGTTTCTTATGATGATTTCCTTTATCAAGCTTGTTATAAAACAATACTTTAAATTACAATTAATATTTGATATAGACAAATACTAAGGATTTATATATTTTCTATGTTTAATAGTGTTCAATTGAATGGTATGGTAATGTTCATATCTTGTATATTTTTTTTGATAAGATATAATTTCATTACTGTTGTATTTGATGTTTTTGGAAACTTTTATTATTAGGATAAAGTAAATATTTGGTGTTGCAAATAAAACGCGAAATTAATTAGTTCACAATGTTTGATTGACGCTTACATAGGTTTTTACTTGTCGTGAGGAGAGGAAAAGTGTTGCCCGTGGTAATTTTTAAAAGTTCGACATTCTGTGTTACCATACTAATCATATAAAACTAAGTTCTCGACGATATATCTACGTTATAATTTTCATAATTTTATCCTTTCAGATATTTTACCTGATACCCCCCACGTCAACAAATCTGGCACTGTATCAACAATGGAGTCCATCAACTCATCAAAATGAACGCTTCTTTGGTGATGCAGTATGTACTTTTTTATAAGAATAAAATAGAATATTATTTATTAAGGACGCGTTTACAAAATGGATAGGTATAGAATCGCACTACTACATTGACAAAAGTCACACACACACTAGTGTACGCACGGTTGGCTGTGGGAATCGTAGTCAAATGAAATTATTTTGATAATTTGAAAGATTGAATTTGTTTTTCATTTCTTATACCTACCTCAGAAATATACTTCGATACGAAATATGAATACCTGCTCCAAAGACTGCTTGGCACTGGAAGCCCTCTACTGGTAGTGAGATGTTAGCTCTGGACTTTGAACTGGTTTTGTCAGTTATAATAAGACCTTACCTACCTGCGGACTTGATGGAGTGACCTGAAGGTGTAATTTGGTGATTACAACAATAGGAACTCCTAGACTAGTGGAACTAGGTGTGCCGAGTTTGGGTTCGTTTTGTTGGTTATGATGAGACCTTACCACCGGACTTGATGGAGTGACCTGAAGGTGTAATTCGGTGATTACAAGTGGAACTCCTAAACTAGTAGAACTAGGTGTGCCGAGTTTGGGTTCGTTTTGTTAGTTATCATGAGACCTTACCACCAGACTTGATGGAGTGACCTGAAGGGGTAATTCAGTAACTACTGCTGGAATTTCTGAACGAGTAGAACTAGATGTGCCGAATTTGGGCTCCGTTTTGTTAGTTATGACGAGTCCATACCTCCGGACTTGATGGAGTGACCTGAAGGTGTAAATCGGTGATTGCAACTGGAACTCCTAGACTGGTGGAACTAGGTGTGCCGAGTTTGGGTTCGTTTTGTAGGTTATGATGAGACCTTACCACCGGACATGATGGAGTGACCTGAAGGTATAGTTCGGTGATTACAAGTGGAACTTCTAGACTTGTAGGACTAGGTGTGCCGAGTTTGGGTTCGTTTTGTTAGTTATGATGAGACCTTACCACCAGACTTGATGGAGTGACCTGAAGGGGTAATTCAGTAACTACTGCTGGAATTTCTGAACCAGTAGAACTAGGTGTGCCGAATTTCACTCCATCAAGTCCGGTGGTAAGGTCTTATCGTAACTAACAAAACGAAACCAAACTCGTCACACCTAGTTCTACTAGTCTAGGAATTCCATTTGTAACCACCTGATTACACCTTCAGGTCACTCAATCAAGTCCGGTGGTAAGGTCTCATCGTAACTAACAAAACGAACCCAAACTCGGCACACCTAGTTCTACAAGTCTAGGAGTTCCACTTGTAATCACTGAACTACACCTTCAGGTCACTCCATCAAGTCCGGAGGTATGGACTCGTCATAACTAACAAAACGAAGCCCAAATTCGGCACACCTAGTTCTACTCGTTCAGAAATTCCAGCAGTAGTTACTGAATTACCCCTTCAGGTCACTCTATCAAGTCCGGTGGTAAGGTCTCATCGTAACTAACAAAACGAACCCAAACTCGGCACACCTAGTTCTACCAGTCTAGGAGTTCCAGTTGCAATCACCGATTTAGACCTTCAGGTCACTCCATCAAGTCCAGAGGTATAGACTCGTCATAACTAACAAAACGGAGCCCAAATTCGTCACCCCTAGTTTTACTCTGCAAGAAGTTCAAATAGCGGTCACGAAAGTACACCTTCAGGTCATGCCATCAAGTCCAGAGGTAAGGTCTCATCATAACCAACAAAACGAGCCCAAACTCGGCACACCTAGTTCCGCTCGTCCACGAGTTGCAGTAGTAGGTAAGTTTATATATCCTACTTATTTTTAGCTAAATAAAAACTGTGAGTATAAAAATAATAATTTTATCACTTGTCAAGTACTTATGTTTCCAATTTGTTTTTTTCTAATATTTTGTGTATGTACAGCGATCTTTTCAGAATGAGCCGCTGCAAACAGGCGATACAGTGTCCACTCACGACGGCGGCCGAGCGCGGACTGTGGTTTCATCGAAATCTTTGTACAATAAATCAAAGCAGGCACCAACAATAAAATAGCCCTTATTGCAATACATTATGATTCATCCATATTACCAAAATATGTGAAAAAATGTGCATCAGTTTTTATTTTTTTTACGACTATTTGTGACATTTTGTTAAAAAATAAACCCAGGGTTTTTTAATTGAATATGTCTGTCATCTTATAGTATTTTTTAAATTTTTAAATATGTTGATAATAGACCAAAACATCTACCGAAACACAAGCCGGTATCGTTAATTTTGTAGAAAATGGCAACGAAAGTTCGTTTTTACAATATAAAAAACTACTATTTTCAACAAAAGAGTTACAGACATTTGCAGATGAAGAACCAATCTATACATGGTAGTTTTTACTTATATTTGATTTGGTTTAGTTTTGTCACAAAATCTACCGAAAAACACCCTAATTTTGGTTGATTTGCAAACGCGTCCTTAAATATAGATTATTACTTAATACTTATCAAAGGAATTTCAGGAAATACCTATCAAAGGAATTTTAGGAGATATTGAGATTCCAGGATATTTTAGGGTCATACCTTCCTGTGCCACACCTTGGCTATTAATTCAGAAATAGAGATTTAGGCTGAATTTACCTGCCATAGAAAAATACAATATGTCAATTTACCATAAAAGTTAAAAGGTACACCTGTATATGTCCTACTGCTGGGCACAGGCCACCCCTCAATTCTGAGAGGGTAGTAGGGCAAGGAAGTGTCAATGCGTGTTGGCGAACTTCACATGTCTTCGAATATATTTTTTCTTATTTTTCGGACATGCATGTTTCCTTACAATGTTTCCCTTCACCACCGAGCATGTGGTAAATCAGCACTTAAAATTGCAATTAACAATTTCATTGGTGCCCAGTTTGTCAATTTACCATATTTGGCTACAAATAAGAAATCAGTTGGATTTTTTGTTATTAACCATTTCATCCCATAGGTGTTGTAAGAGACGGCTCCTAGACATGCCAGAAAGCTCTCATAATCATCTCATATAGCAAAAGAGTCACATATTTAGCAGTAGCCCTTTCAAGTATTAACAAAGAATAATCTATAATTACTTTTACAGGTGGAATGGTATGGTACAGCGGAAGTATGCGCGGGGGAGACACTATTCATACCGGCTGGCTGGATCCATGCCGTGTTGACTCCATGCGATTCACTGGTTTTTGGTGGAAACTTCCTACATTCTTACGCAGTTGAGATGCAGTTGCAGTGAGTTAAGAATTCAAAGTATCATGTCTTCTTTCTATCTCTATCTCTGTCTTAACAACTGAACTACTTAAACTTTTTATGTGGTAGAGCCATGCTGCAGCTATATTATGATTGTATTTGATTATGAAATATGCTATATTATGATTGATATTGTTGGCTCTATCAGGGAAGAACCATGCTCTCAAAGAATATCTGAGTAAAATAGCTGCCGTGTTACATATGGTAAGTGTAGAGAACTGGTACCCCTTTTATTGGAAACAAGGCATTCCATCTTAGTCCTCGGAGGTGCCACCGCAAACAACTTTTGACATATTCTGATTCTTAATCAAGTATAAACGTAGATGTCTGTGGGTCACAGCATCCACTTACCATCTGGTGGACGGTGTGCTTGTTGTCACACTTATTTAATAAAAAAAGTGTCAAATTTGTTGTTTAAGAAATATGCTCAGCGTGCTATACCTGCTCTTCCCTACTATTTTTTCTTCCTGTGTTAGGATCAACTCTTTAAAAATAAATAAATCCTTATTGTAACTCTTTTCCAGGATCCACGAAATCCAGAGTCGTGTAGAAACACCGCTTTGTTCCAGATCATATGAAATCGAGGGACGAGCAGACACCCCTACCATGCTCAGATACCCACTGTTTGAAGCGATGCACTGGTATGCTGGGGCATATTTTCTCTCAATGCTGAGGAGATACAACGAGGAGTCTATGGTTGGTTGATTATTTTATTTTATTTTTTCAGAAACAACAATGATTGAATTTGAACTTGTTAACAAATCAGTAAAATATTATATATTATATACGTGGTAGAGCCATGTTGCAGTTATATTAGTAGTATAGTTGTACCCAAATGGGTCAACTTGACCCCCTGGTCAAGCCGACCCATACATGCTACAACTATAAAAAAGGAGTACACTCTCATAGAATACCAGCGTCAAATAGTAGCTTGATGCTGCTGTGTTTCGTATGGTGAGTGTAGAGAACTGGAGACCCTTTTTACTGGAAACGAGGCATTCCATCTAAGTCCTCACGGGTGACAACGCATCTTTTGATTCGTAATCGAGGATAGATGTAGATGTCTATGAGCCACAGCAATTACTTACCATCAGGTGGACTGTGTGCTCGTTTGTCACCTTATCCTATAAAAAAATTATTACAACCATAGTTGAGTGAGGTTGTCACTCGTGTGCTCGAGCTGACGCGCGCCTTTTTTTTCGTGGAGAAATCCTCATGGATACCATTCGTTGTGGGGGCAACGAGAAAGTTATGCCAGATTCCTACCGGCTAAAACCCCACGGTGGTCACCATCAGCGTATATGAGGGGTCCCGGGATCTCCATTCGGAACGCAACCGGAGCCCCTCCAACGCTTTGCACTAACCCACTAATAGCACGTCCCAAGGGAAATACTTGCTACCCCCAGCACCATCGCAGTGCTACCACGATGTCTCGAGACCACTTCCGAGTCATCGTCCTCCTCGGTGGGTTACATAACTAGGTCTTCGAGGCCCCCGCCCCGAGCGACTGTAACCCGAGTGCCTGCTACCCCAGAGGCCCCGTTTCTGGTAGGGGAACACCGTTTTCAAGAGGAGGACCATGACTAACACCTTGGTGACGTCGTCTCCGAGCGGGATCCACCCTCTCCCGATCTTGCTCAGAAGCCTCTTAGAAGGTGGCTACGGCCCTCCACGCCGAGTCCTCGCTCAGCATCGCCGACACGACTGCTGGCAGGGAGAGGTTCCGTCCAATGCGGTTTACCAGAATCATCCGCTCCCGCTCCCACGCTGGGCATACCGCGAGCGTGTGAGACGCGGAGTCCTGGTCCCACCCTCCGCAGTGGAAGCAGTTCGCCGTCGCCTCGTGTCCGATCTTACACAGGTAATCATCGAAGCACCCGTGTGCGGTAATTATCTGTGTAAGTCTGTAGGTGAGTCTTCCTACTCGTCGCTGCATCCAGGCTTCGAAGACCGGCAGGATTGCTCCAACGACGCATTTGCGTTCATAGCGCTCCTCGAGACGAGTGCGCCATTTCGCCAGGGCGTTTTGCCGTTCCTGCCGTTTAATTGATTCGTGTGCCTTTTCTGGCTCACTACGGCTTTGGCGGAGGGCACGAATACGGATTTAGACCCTCGCGTCCATCTCTGCCAGTATATCTAGTGGTGGAAAGCGAGCCAGGATTGTTGCTGCCTCAAAGGATATAGGGCGGTATCCTCGTACGATCCGTATCGCAATCCTCCGCTGCACACTGTAGATTCTAGTTCTACAGCGTCGAATGGCCAGCCTTTTTGCCCATACTCTCCATACAGAGCTACGGACCGTATAACTCCCGCGTAGAGGCGACGTACTTCCTCCGTCGGTCCCCCTAGATTGGGTAGCAGTCTATGCATAGCATCCGCCACCCTTTCAATCAGGGGGACTAGGCGCTCGAAATGTTCTTCGAAGTCCCAGCGACTGTCCAGGTGGAGGCCTAGGTACTTCATGTAACCTCCCCACTCTGACTTCAGACCCATCCACACGGACGCACGAGTTGGGTGGTTTCCTGCCCCGTGGTAATTTATGAAACCATAGAGCGTCGGTCTTATTAGGCGCTATTTCTAAGCCTAACTCGTGGATTTTGGCGATAACGACTTCCGCCCTAAGCTCGGTGAGCTCCTTGGCCCTCTCGAAAGTTATCCCGCTGGCGATCAACAATGTGTCGTCGGCAAAGCACTCGATATTTCCGCCATTGGGAAGGTCGACTCGCAGAACCGCATCGTACGCAAGGTTCCATAGTAGTGGACCCAGCACCGATCCCTGTGGAACCCCACGTTTGATTTCCCTCCGGATCTTCCTACCATCTGTCGCGCAAGTAGTCCCCGATAATACCTTGCAGGTAAGGGGGTACCTGATGACGTGCCAGTGCCCTCCTGATTGCATCCCAGGGTAGGGAATTAAATGCGTTGATGATTTCAAGGCTAATTGCCAATGCCACGCCTAGGATACTGTTTGTTACAACAGGGAGCGGAGGCGCATAATCGCGTCTACAGTGGAACGCTCCCGTCGGAACCCAAACTGGCTATCAGCTAAATCGGGACTGACACGCGACAGATGTCTGTTGAGCCGAGTGGCAACTATCCTCTCGAACAAATTGCCAATCTCGTCCAACAGGCATAGGGGGCGGTACGCAAAGGGAGAATCAGAGGTCCTGCCCTCCTTCTTCAATTGGGCTTCTTCAAGAGGACCAGCCTTGCCTCTTTCCAGGCTGTGGTCAATGTGACACACCGCAGACAGCTGGTAAACAGCTGCCTGAGCCTGTCTCCCAGGGTAACCAGACTCAGCACTAGCCCGGGATTCCGTCAGGCCCTGGTGCTCTAGGATAAGCGTGCCGATCTGGAAAGGGTGTTCCAGAAAATCCGGATCGAGAGTCTCCGTCAAAGGGGGCGACCAGGGCTGGAGCTTGCCCAGCACCATTCTGTACGGACGCCCTCAGGGGTCTTTGTTGGCTATCTCTTCAGGCTGAGCTCGCCTTCTTCTCCTTCGGGCTCTAGTGTACTGGCGCCGACACCGCAAGCAGAGCGCACGGAGTCGTGCGATTTCTGCTGACCACTGCTCTGCGCTTGGGGCGACTGGTTCTGGCCATCGACACGTCGCAAATTTGCGTCATCATACCCCGAAATCAGTTCGCTTCCACTTCAGGATCGGACTGAACCTCAAAGCGCCTTACATTAACAAAAAGTATTTTTCTCTTATAAGTATTTAGGCACTTTTGATATTTATTTTTGAGTTTTTATATACATAGCATATGGGTGCTTAAATAATAATAGGAATGTCGACTTTTCATTCTTTACTGTTCCAGATAATTAGGTACCTTGGTACTGGCTCCGCAGTTAGAGATTTATTATTTGACTAGCGACTTGACCACAAATTCGCAACCATATCGAAAGTTCACTACTAAACATAGACCTTCCCCATAGATCGCTTCATAGTGGAATATTGTCAAAGTTGTCGCTATAGAGTATATATAATCGAGCTATAATCTATGAAAAGAAATATCATTGTACTTTTTAGCTTGCTTCCGTGAATCGGGTTTGCAGCATGGCACTGCACATTTCGCCATAGTAACTGAAAATTCTAATAAATACCGTCGAGAGAAACAATTTACACGCGTATAACGTCGCCCTTGCCATTTTGAGACTGTTCACACTCGTGCTTACTGTTCTGACTCGCTAACGCGTGCTCTATAGCTTGCTTATAAATACTCTAGGATTGGCAATCGCAAACATTTATTACTTTAAATTGTAATTTCATTTTAATTTTTAATTGTTATTAGGAAAACAGTGCTCCTCACTTCTAGTTTGTTTTCCTCTGACCTCTTTTACGACACCCACGAGGCGCTATATGGGGTAGTGGATATTCTTACACAAGTCTACACTGTCAAATAATTTATATTGTTAATATTTTGTGTCAGGACGAGGAGTTTACGCCTGGTGAGGTGGTATCAAGTGGCGGTGTGGTGGCACCGGCTCCCCTGCTACTGCGCGGCGCACGCATCCTGGCCGCCGCTCTCAAAGAATGGCACGCGCTCAAAGCGGTGAGCATCACTTCGGGGAACCCCCCCCCCCCACCGCACCTCCCCTAATTACCTGCCCATATCATCATCAACACGAATGCAAAGACTAAAATACATTTCCTCAGAAAAACTTTGTCTTCCTCGAATATTTAACGAATTTGAGGTAGTATAGATACAAGTTTCTGGATTTAACAGAGTTAGTAATTCATTCATGGGGTAATGTATTACAACCAAGTCTTAGAAAATATATTAGATCTCTGTATTACTAAGTTTACTTATTAATTAAAAACGTTATATAAAAGTGATGTATTAAATTATATGAATACATGGTTGATAATAACCCCTGGGAATAAGTTGGTCACTTCCAAGCCATTTCTAAAATAAATTTTGTAAATAGTTTGTACAACCTTTCTAATTATGTAATTTATTTATTATTTATTTCATTATTCAGGTAAAACCACACATTTTGTTAGTACACTTACATACACATTGGGTCTGGAACCCATATGCACTGTGTTCCAGTACCTCATCACAAGGCAATCTTGCCTTCCATATATAGAAGCTAGGAGGCCGTTGGTGCTGTCTCGCACGCTACGCATCAAGGAGACTATTCTTTTGCGTAATATTACTGCAAAACTGTCCACGCGTCCTTCAGAAAACATACGCGATGCGCTGCAAAAGCGTGGCAGCCCCAACATTATCCTCAATCCATTGTTGTACTGAACATGTAGTGCATTGAGAATTCGGCGAGTATACTTCGTCCACAGGCTGCAGGTGTAGAATGTCTGACAGTAAGCTTTGAATTACTTAACTTCATTCGTACACCTAGCAAACCTGCGGGCAAGGATATTACACCTCACTGCCAACGCTCTACATTCCCTTTCAACATCTAAATCGTCAGAAAGATCCTCGGCGACACAGTGTCCCAGATATCTGAATTTGGTGACTCCACTCAGTGTAACTCCTCCAAGTCTAACATGAGGAATAGACTTAGGTTTTCTATTTCCAGCCTTAAACACGAGTAGGTCGCTCTTATTAGAATTATATTAGCGACCATGAGCCGCTTCGTACCTATCACAGATGCCCACTAGCGTTTCGAGGGCCCTGATCGAAGGACTCAGCAAAACCATGTCATCGGCATAGCTTATATTATTAACTAAGTGACCGTCAATTGAGCAGCCGACTCCGGCATCACTGAGCTCCACGATCAGACCGTTGATGTACAGGTTGAAGAGTTGAGGGGAGCTAAGGCCGCCCTGCCTCACCCCGCACTCCAACCTGTACTCCGACGAATATAAGCCAGCCCACTTCACACAGTTAGCTTGGTTGTGATACGAATATTTGAAGAGGTTAATTACTTCTTTGGGTGTGCTAGTTTCCTGGTTAAGTTTATCCCATAGAACGTTGTACGAAACCAGGTCAAATACCTTCGACAGGTCCAAGAAACATGCTTAAACCAGTTAAACCGGCCGGGTAATTTACTTTGGAAAAAAAAGTCTTGCTGGTTTTGCCCAACCAGTGGTAAAAGTAAAAAAAAATGGCTTTTAATGAAAATTACATGTAATCTATATTGAATATAAAAAAAATATTCTCTTCTATTCTAAAAAAACAATTTTCGTGACTACATACCGCGGTGATCATTTTTTATATGCATAATTACTTTGTAACCTGTTAGCTCTCGCGAGGCCCTCATGTGCTCAAGAAATAAACACCTTACGCTCGCTCGATCAAGGTGCACATGTGGGCGACAAGTACTACCCTTTGAAAAAAGAATTTTTTTAATTAAAACAAAACCAAAGACACTATGCAATAGATAATAGTATCAAAGACAAAGATATGCTCTTTTATTTTAAACCATAACCTGGCAATGTTTCTTAGAAAAAAAAAAAGAAATCACTCTGAACTTCCGGCGTTCCACGTGTCACTTTGTAGAAGGTGCTCCATCTTTTTTATAGAATTTTATATTTGTGTCTGGACTAAAAACGAAAGTATTATACTTTTTTATATTCCTTGTAATATAGTAAACACGTAGATATGTAATTTGTGGTATAAAAAGTGAAAAGTAAATTGCCAAAAGTACTTCAAATTCCGGAAAGCCCGTTTTGGCAGGTGAGTTATAAATGTGTTATTTTTCAAATTCTCATTTATTTTTAGTGTAAAATGTAAGTAAAAATAGTTTTCGTATATATTTCAAATAACATGACGTTGTATTTATTTCAAATTCACACAAACATATTTTAGAAATATTGTTTGAAATGTCATACAGATAAAATATTATTTTTTTTTTTTTTAATTTTTATAATATTTTAATATTTTGGTATGAGTAACGAATGGAAACACATAAAACATAAAAATATACATGTTTCCAAACATTTTCATATAAATTTCTCCAAAAACAAAAGTGTAGAATTCAAATTAGTAGTAATTTTGGCACTAAAAGTGAAGTATATACTACTACTTATGCTATAAAGGGTAATTTATGAATTTTATTATAATTTCTAACAACCAAAATAATTTTATTCAATAGTTTATACATTCAACAAGAATTCCTGTAAGTTTTATCCATAAATATTGTCTCAAAGTGAAAATATAGCAAAATTTGCAATATAGCAAAAAATTTGCTAATTTGCAAATTTTCCCGCCATTACGGTCGCGAGCGAACGGGTGTCATATTACGCGTGGCCTCGAGAGCTAACAACCACAATCACAATCACAGATCTCCAATAACAAAAAAATTTTTCTCAATACTGTCTAAGGTTTACCACAAAAGTACATTGATTTTAAATCTCTTCATGGCAGATTCATATTTTAGATTTGGGGGAAAAATGCGTAAACTATGTTACAATAGACGTCAAAAAATCAGTGTTAGACTGTCGAAAGCAACGTTTGCGGTTAAGAATTGACCATAACTTAGTGCGCAATGTACTAGTACAGTAGTGACGGTCTAATCGTATATATAGAAGGTCTTTATTTATGATCTTATGAAATGACAAGCAAGCACACAGTTCACATGATGGTAAGTGAATGCTGTGGCCCATAGACATCTACATTTATCCTCAAATAAGAATCAAAATGCAGATGTGTTGTCTGAGAACAAAGATGGAATGCCTCGATTCCAGTAAAACAGGTCTCCGGTTCTCTACACTTACCATACGAAACACAGAAGCATGAAGCTGCTATTTTACTCTGGTATTCCGTGAGAGTGTGGTCCTTCCACCGTAGAGCCGACCTATTCGTATTGAAACTATACCATAGTTGTAGCGTGTCTCTACCATGTATAATATCATTTGCATGAATGGAAAACACGCTCACACATATATTACAGCCTTTCACAAGACCACTCGTGAATATAGACCTCCCGCAAGAAATATCACTAAGCACGGTTCTGCGCCAGAATCCAGCGACACCCTTATGAAGAAGGCCATTGTAGTATAGAAGCATAATGCTGTGTTTCATATGAGCGACATAAACCAGAGAACGTTTTTGTTGGTAGTGATTTATCCTATCTTGTCCTCAAGGGTGAATCTGCATTTTGATTCTTAATTGAGTATAGATGTAGATGTCTATGGGTCACAGAATTCACTTACCATTGGGTGGACTGTGTACTCGTTTCCACCCTTATTCTATAAAAAAATGGTATTATGTAGCTTCAAATAAAAATCTTTCTTTACTACTACTACACAAATGAGGTTGACAAGGGTACTGTTGAGTGTTTCGGTGAAAAGGTTATAGAGCCAGTATAATTTACAGGCTGTGAGCCAGTTCATCACTTTATAATTTGCTTACAGACGGATGCAACGAAACGAGACAACGTACCAAAGTGCCTCAACTCCGGCCAACTTGTGCGGGAACTGTCAAAGGAGCTGAGGACTTTGGAGAAGAGGACTATGAGCGCAAGCAAGGATAAGGTAATTGTCCTATTATCTGTGGTGATGTGGTAGAGCTGTAGCTTAATTTTGGCTGAAGCAAGAATGGGTCCGGTTGACCAGGGAAACAAGACCAAGTTCTCCCACATTACCGTAATACCGTTATGCAGAGGTACCCCGTTTTGAAATGGTGTTAGATAAAAAAAAACATGCTGAAGTTTGAAAATGTAAAAAATAAGAGTTGTCTTCTTCTTTTAAAATAATTAAAAGAAAAATGGCTCTTTTGTTTAATGCCAATGACTGACTATTTGACAACTATACTAATGTTTAAAAAAACTCAGTGCCCAATAAAGGGCTTTATGTAAGGCCTGCCGTAAGACGCGTAATTGCGACAAAAAGTGGCGTCCTGTTTCCCCATTTTATTGTACCGCGGGCAGCAACTGTTTAACATTAGTGTTGTTAAGAGTTCTCATTTCATTTTTGTTTTGTATGATGGGTGAAATGAAATATCATATCATATCGGTATTACTATGATGTAATAAAATTAATTTCCTTTGTCAAATGTCATTTTTATTCTCTGACATAAACAAAGGGGCTTTATACCCGCGCAAGCGGCCAACCGCGCACTGGTATGTATGGAAAGGTACTGAAATACTCATGGCCGTTTTACGCCATTTTCGATTTGGGTAATAGACTACCCATAGCCGCCAGAGGGGATAAGTTTGTAGTGTCTATCCGTGTCTCTGTCTGCTATGATGCCACATAGCTTGTGACAGGATGAAGTGATTTTGATAGTTTTTTTTCGTTTGAAGGATGTCTTAAGTGTACTTAGATATGTTTCAAGAAAATCACTTCAGTAGTTTGAAGATCATCAGCCCTTTTTGTTTCGGGGGTTTCTAAAATGTTTAAGTTATTTTAAACCTAATAAATCTACTACCATTTACAAATGGGGTTCCTGTCGCCGGAGAAGAAACGGCAAAAGAAACTCCCCAGGTATAATCATCATCATCATTACAATCCTGAACATAGGCCTCCCCCAAGAAAGTCACAAAGCACGGCACTGCGCTCCATTGACTTCCTGCATGTCTTATCAGGTTGTCACTCCATCTAGTGGGGCGTTGCCTTACCCTTCCTTAACCAGTACGAGGTAAAATAGGTACAAGAATTGGTGACATCTTTTTACTGGTAATGAGGCATTCCATCTTCGTCTTCTGTTGTGTGATCACTGCTGCATCTGAATTTTGAACTTAATCGAAGATATATGTTTCTATGGATCACAGCATCTACTTTGTGTACTCATATGCCACCTTTACTTGTCCTTAACTTGTTTGTCACTCTTATATAATTCTATTCCAGGATTTCAAACCGAAAAACCATTCACCGAGTAAAAGCTCAAGGAAACAATCTGCGTCAAAAAAATCTCTAAAGCTAACCTTACCAAAGCCAATAATGCACATGGCTCAAAATGGCGATTTCGTTGATGAGAAAGTATACGCGGACAAACTTTATATAGAAAATAAGGAAGTCGTATTTCAGGACTCCAGATTTCAGGATCCAAGATACGTGAGCACCGACGTAAAGTATACCAATGGGTTGCCAGAAGCGAAATACATTATAGATACTAAAGAGACCGTGTTGCCTGAGAAATATACCTTTCAGCATTACGAAGAACCAGTGCAAGGGTATCATGATGGAAATGGTTATGTGGAGAGACTGGATAAAAAAGTTTTGAAGGTAAAAATGAGGTAAGCTTTTTCCTCTATTGTATCTCCTTGTTTCCACATACAGTCCAATAATAGACATACACGGTAGAGCCGTACTGCAACGTAGCTGTAGCACGAATGAGTGCTCGGCCGGGAAAGGACCACACTCTCACAGAATACTAGCATAAAATAGTAGCTTTTGCTGCTGTGTTTTCTATGGAGTGTAGAAAACCGGTGACTTTACTGTAAACAAGGTATTCCATCTTATTATTCATGGGTGACAAGGCATCTGCATTTTGGTTTTTAATAAAAGATTGATGTAAATGTCTATGGGCTACAGCATCCACTTACCATCAGGTGGACTGTGTGCTGTTTCCCTGTGCCTATTCTATAAAAAAAGAAAAAATGTTTGTTCGCTTATCATTCTTATTCTATAAAAAAATTGGTCTATCTTAAATTAAGAAATTGCTATAATTGTCATATTTAGCAAATCTAATGTCAATGTTTATTAATTTGTTTGAGATGAGTGAATTGTACATACCAACAATAATATCCTTGTCCTAAAAGGTTTTGAGACCATACTCCATAACCATTATTGTCACTCATGGATTGTAATTGGCATGATGGTTTCTTTTATACTCTTACACTGTGAATTTCATTAAAGTAAAATTTTTGAGTTAAACATATAGGAATTGTCTACAGTGAGTAATGACTATTATAATATTTTTAACTTCCTTTCAGCAATTCCCCATCATCATCTCGTGATGAAGCACCACCACCCTACAGTTTACCCGAGCACTCAATACTGAAGTCTCATCTAATCAGATCAGAGCGAACAACTTTGAAGCCCATACACCAATGGACTATATCGAAGAAGGACATTGGAGACTACCATGAGGAACAGATACTGTTTACAAATGAGAATTTGCAAACTAACTTAAGGATAGAGGGTCAAGACTTGAATTATGGACCTGGTGAGTAAATGTAGTCTTTTTGTAAAGAATAAGGGCGACAGGACAAAAGAGCACACATTCCACCTGATGGTAAGTCGATGCTGTGGCCCGTTGACAACTACATCAATCCTCGATTAAGAATGAAAATGCAGGTGCGTTGCCACCTCTGATGACTAAGATGAAATCCCTCGTTTCCACAAAAAATTTGTCAATTGTCATATTAACCTATCTCAGTAATGAATAATGATGTTTTTTCTTACATAAATGAAAGATGACTTAAAGCATTACTTTCATAAATAAATTGTAATGTTCATTTTATAGGAATGTACTCAGCAGAAGATATTCAGCAAGACTATCAGTACTCGGAGGGTGCAAAGCCGGGCTCCTACCAGCCTGAGTTTGCTTACCAGCCTGATATACCTTACACAACTGAGTATCATCGGTATGATGAAGCGGTCACTGTGCCAGTGCATCAGGTGATTTTTTTTTGAATATCCGAGTAACTACTTGCTGTATAGTGTTGCGTAAGATAATCATCAACCCAGTTTGTCCTTTTGAGTAATGACTTTTATGTTTTTATGTTTACGGGAATACTTACACATAAAATGAAACTAGTTGCACGGATTTTATTGCGTTTTCTTAATTATTTTATATTCCTGACGTTTTGAGTACTTTAAAACAACTGTGGTCACAGGATGACTAAGGTGTTTGATATGTCAACTACTGGAACTGCATCATCCTGTCTGCCATGCATGACGATTATGGCAAGTTGTCTCTAAAACAAAATAGGTCCATATTCTGCAGTGGATGTATGCAATTTTATGAAGTAAAAAGAAAAAATTTCATAAATTCAAGTTATTCATACATATTGTTTATTTAACAATAATAAACTGTAACAACCTTGAGTTTCGTGTGACAGATAGAATGCTATAGAAATGCAGTCGTTAAGAAGTATGTTATTGGTTACTGGAAAAAAACATAATTATGTTCGCAGGAGAATACGTGCACGAGTGTATGTCTATGGGCCACAGCAACCACTTATCATCTGAGTGGACTGTGTGCTCGTTTGTCACACTATCCTATAAAAAAAAATTATATTTTGCGGCAGAAATAGGCATGGCTCACGAACGAAATTGTACTACATAGTAAAATGAGTCTTATGTCAATTGTGTAAAGCGCAAACCAGATACGAACCACAAAAGAAGTCGCGCCTCTTCCGGGGAATTCTCGAGGATTCCCGTAGATACTGTCGGCGAAGTCTGTGAAATTCGCGGGAAGTGGCGCGAAGAGCGTGAAATCTAGACTAACTTTTCTACAGCCCCAAGGCGATTGTCGTATGGCCCGTAGGGGAAGTCACGGAAATGCTCGAGCATTTCGTTCCAGTTCCAGTAAGTCGAAACGTATGCGTAAGCACAGGTGCAGTCTATTCCTTCACTCTGAAACACCACCAACTTCCTGACCCCGGGCTGCTCCTGAGAATTTCTTCACAGAATACTCAATAACTGATTTTTAGCCTGACTCGGGATTCAACCTCTAGACCACGAGATTAACAGTAGCGTTTACGACCACTAGACCGTCTGTTAAGATTTGCCACCGTGAACAAAACTCTGTCTGGAGGGCATTATTATTATACATTGAAGCATTTTCTAAGCAAGGCTCACTTTCAGACGGCCACATACAGTACAGCGGGTGAGAGCTACCACCAGCCATTGCCGTCCTACGATGCTGCCGTCGCTCAACAGTATGCAGCAACCACCTATGTGAGTCTTCCTTGCTTCATACACAAATTTGAAACTTTGCATGTTTCTTTATGCGTATTAAACTTTAGGTCTGCCGCATAAAAGGAAATCGAAGTTACTTAACGAAACTTTTCGTGGTAGGGCTATGCAGCTATGTTATGTTTGTATCACAAATGGCTCTGCTCGACTGCAATAGGACCACGCTCTCACAGAATACCGGTGTAAAATAGCAGCTCAATGCTGCTGTGTTTCGTATGGTGAGTGTAGAAAACCGGAGACCTTATTTTACTGGTAATGAGACATTTCATCCTAGTCCTCTTTAGGTCTTCTTAGAGTTTTGTAAACTAATAACAAACAAGCACACAGTCCACCTGGTGATAAATGGATACTGTATTCCATAGACATTGACAAATAGCAAATTTAATAAATCCCCCTCCCCACACCCCTCTTCCACCATCGAACAGCTAGACGCTCTGCCAGTCTTTTCCCTTTCGTTATCGAATTACCACGCATTTGAACCAAACAGCTTGCTTCATCCTACATCCATCCAATTACAACGTCTTCAAGGTAAGAGTGAATATTCTTTTGCTAAGGCAATGCATTTTACCATATTTGCCTCCATCGCCACCTACCATCAGGTGGGATAGTAGGCAAGCGCTGGCCACATCTGCGGACTAAGATGGAATGCCTTGTTGCCAGTAGAATGAGGTGGCAACGCATCTGAGATGCAATGAGTCTATGAGCCATAGAATACACTTCACATAAGGTGAACTCTGGTGCCCTAAAAATTTAATTCTTAAATTTTTAAGTAAGCCACAATGTTCTGGACATCACATGATAAAAATAAATTTTCGTAAAGAAACAATTCATATATTAAATAATTTATTACTTGAATACTATTATTAATAATAATAAATATAATTGCATTTTCTGGTAAACAGGTGCCTGAAACCCCCAAACCGGAAGTGAACACTCCGTCAACGGGAACACCGAGTGTGCGTCGTTCAGAGCGAGCGGTGAGGAGACGAGTCTCCAGCACGTATGACTACGAGGATGGGGATCTGTTCATCGATGACACACCAACTCCCAGGAGGCGGAAGGCGCCACCGAAGCATAGGCCGAGCTCTTCAACTCTGGCTGGTAAGCTCTTGAGGTCTGCTAAGCTTTAGAAGTTCACTGCTGGACGTGGGTATCCCTAAATTGGTAGAATTGGTCGTAATTGTCACATTAAACTTGATTATCGTAGTAGTAGACCTCTGACAAAATGATACAGGACAGTTTCTGTTATTTCTTTATTTAAATACTATGCACTGTTAATATTTAAGTTAAGTATCATGTAACACTAATGACCTACGACGGCGACGCCGATGACTCCACAGAGTCAGTAATTCAACAAAGCTATTACAACAAAGTCCCAGAAAATATACAAGGTCTCTCTATTACCAATTTTAAATATTTAACTATAGTCAACCAAATCTAAGAAATACCTTTTGACGTACACATTATCAAGCACAAGCGTACTTGCACAATTTAAAATAACCATTTATGTAAATCCTAAGAATTATAAAGTTATCTATATTTCATTACAACATGTATAGTTTTTTTTATCACTAATTTAAATCTTTCGAACAAAGCAAAATATTAAAAAATAACCAGTATCAACTTTTTGTACTTGACGTTGTTTCAATGATATGTCGCTATGTACATTACCGTAGTGTTTGAATGATTTAAATTGTTATGCGAATAATCGGCAAAAATATTCCAATAATTGGTAAAAATATTCAAATAATTGAATCATTAATTTTTTTAATGTATTATATGTTTAATTTAATTTTTATTTTTAAAATTCCTGAAATTACATGAATCATGAGTAAAACAAGTTTATTTTTTTTAATTTGCCAACGTAAATTTGTGTAGGCAAAAAAACTCATACAAGGCCGCGATATAAAAAGCACTAAATAATTTCAATCTCCCGCCATTTCGGTAGCTTACTGTGCGTAATTTTGTTATTTTGTGTTTGTCTTCTTATTTTGTGACTCGGCTTTAACTTTTTGGACTGTTTCTTCAATATTTGTTGAAGCATGTGCCCATTTCACAAAGGATAATTAGGCAAAAGTGGTAGAAAAAACAAAAAAAATATTATGGATGACTGAAGGAGATATTTTTGTGGTAGAGCCATGCTGCAGCTGTATTAATTATGTAGTTGTAACACGAATGGGGAAGGACCACGCTCTCACAGAATACCAGCGTCAAATAGAAGCTTAATGCTGCTGTGTTTCGTATGGTGAGTGTAGAGAACCGGAGACCCTTTTTACTGGAAAAGAGGCATTCCATCTTAGTCCTCAAGGCTGACAACGCAACTGCATTTTGATTCGCAAACGAAGATAGATGCAGATGTCTATGGGCCACAACAACCACTTACCATCAGGTGGACTGTGTGCTCGCTTGTCACCCTTTTCCTATAAAAAAAAAGACATTAATTTTGACTGCATTATTGAAATCAAACAATGACAGCTCAACTAATTGTACTGATAGTGATTGAATAAATTTATTTTTAATTTAGTTATAATCTTAAATTTTTATAACTGTGCCTCTAGAAATAAGCAGTACCTAACAACAAATACGTAGAAACTGATAAATCTTGTGTTTTAAATTATCCGTATTTAATTTATTCTGGTATTATTTATTAAACCAAACAGTAAATGATTACCAACTCTAATCGATATCAATTTTTTTAAAAATCGAATATTTTACGTTCCCATATTTTGGTTGGCATGCCTGGTGCAATAAGTCTGACAGCTGTCAAAATGTATTTCTTAGATTTGGTTGACTATAAACAATAACTATAAAGAAGGTTATTAAAATATAAATGACTACATGGTTGATTAACCCCTGGAAATAGTGGGGTCGCTTCCAAGCTGTATTTAAAATTAATTTTGTAACTATTTTGTAGAGTAATGATTATCTTATCGTGCTCAGATATATTGTGTTGGGAAGAAAAAGTAAAATATAGAAGTGTCGTTGTGTTTTTGGCTATTTCTTATTCTGAGAGCTGTTGAATTACCTTTTTTTTGTTTATTATTTCTGTTGGTGTTGGTTTTAGTAGTTATAAATCCGTAAGTGTTTAGTAATTGTGCCGTTTTATATGTAATTAGTTAGAATAAAATGGAGGAAGATCCTCCCGATCCCGACGGGGTTCCACGTGCCTCCCATACTGGTACGAAAAAAAAATAATAATATTCCTATCGAAATTGATCAGTCGAAGCGTAAAAGATTGCAAGCAACCAATAACTCAGGTCATCCTCAGAAAAGATTAATTACAGATCCATCTCAACCTGTTCCATCTATTCAGACCTCTTATACCCACCCTGAATACATAGAAAAAAAACATAAATATTCTAATAACGACAATGCGCCGTTTATTGTACATGTAAGTAAGAGAGTAGATGATTTATCAACTGGAGTAGTTTTAAAACCGATAAAGTTTGGTCATTTTCTCTACCATAATAATATTAAAAATGTTGTAAATGATGGTGTTAAGCGAGTAGGACGCAATAGAATTTCAGTCGAGTTTAAAAGTGCAGCTGATGCAAATTGTTTTATTGAGAACCCAGCCCTTGCAGGTGCTAAATATGATACTGTAATCCCTTCTTATAATGTCACACGCATGGGAATAGTGAGGCAGGTCCCTGTAGAATGGACATTAGAGGAACTCATCTCATCAATCGAGGTCCCAGCTGGTTTTGGCTCAATTATTAAAGCTCGCCGATTTAATAGAAAGTCAGTTAATGAAAACCAAAGCACTGTGTGGATTCCCTCTCAAACAGTTGTTTTGACTTTTTCCGGTCAGAAACTTCCTTCTAACATTTATTGTTTTTTTACCTCAATGCTTGTTGAGCCCTACATTTTACCTCTTATTCAATGTCACAAATGTTGTCGTTTTGGGCATGTAACCTCACAGTGTAGGTCATCTTCCCGGTGTTTTGTGTGTGCTCAAAATCATGAAGGAATATCATGCACAAGACAGTCTCCCACGTGCTTATTTTGTTCAGGATCTCACACAGCTAAAGATCCTTCCTGCCCTGAACACTCTAGGCAGAGATCTATCAAACTTACCATGTCACAGGAAAATATTTCCTATCTAGAAGCATCTGCCCGTTTCCCTTATGTCCGGAGATCTTATGCAGATGCTGCTAGAATCCTTCCTTCGTATGATCATCAGAGTCCCTATCCTATTACAAATTCCCCTTTACCTTCAGTTGTCCCCTCACAATCTCATTCTTACAGGAAGACTACTTTTACTCCAAGACTTCCGCCAAATCCAGCATCAAGTCATGGATATGATAAATCTGCCCACGAGGCAATAATAGATACCCCTTCTTCTTCAACTACTAATGGTTGTGCTTTAATAGGGCGGAGTATTTCCCCTAATGAAAATCTCTGTGAGTTAATGATCTCCATGCTTATAAGTATGCTTTCCCGTTTCAGCGATATGGATCTCCCACTTGCCCTCCGCCAAAAACTTACTGAGCTCATCTCATTAACAAATAACCTTCCCTCCAATACTTCAGTGGAACTGCCGGAGCATTAATAATAAAAAAAAAATGAATTAATTTACCTTATTAATAAATACCATCCCCTCATCCTAGCCATTCAAGAGACATGGCTTAAGCCTGGGTCCCATTTTAGGATTTCAGGTTATTCATGCCTCAGGAATGATAGGAATGATGGTCATGCTGGCTCTTTCATTCTTATCTCAAAATCAATTACTTATACATTAATTTCCCTCCCTTCTCATAGTCCTTCAATTAATGTTGTAGCAGTTAGAGCTCATAACACTTCTTTTCTTTCTATTTACATTCCCGAACCTAGTGTAAATGTTTTATCAGAACTTACGAGGATCATATCCTCCATCCCGCCTCCTATGGTAATTCTTGGTGATTTTAATATGCACCATACTTTATGGGGCTCTCATTTTTGCGATCCCTGGTCTTCTACATTTTTAGACATCATTGATGATTTAGATCTCTGCCTCCTTAACGATGGTTCACCTACACGTAGAGTATCCCCCCTCCAAAATCCTAAAAGTGCAGTAGATCTGTCACTCTGTTCTCCTGCTCTGTCATCCCTTCTTTCTTGGAGAATACTACCCTTTTCCCATGGCAGTGATCATTTCCCTATTGTTATCAATCCCCCTAGCTCCTATACAGTCAATGTTCCATTCAATCCTAGGTTAAAATATAACACTTCCAAAGCAAACTGGCAACTATATTCCACAGTTCTAGAGGAAGAACTTTCAGCCCTCCCTCCTGTTCAGAAAGATAATGTTCTCCAGGTGTATGCTTCTTTTAAAAACGCTATTTTATCTGCTGCCAATAAGACAATTCCCATCAAAAAACCTTATAAAAATAATGCCCCTTCACCACCTTGGTGGGATCAAGATTGTTCTGTAGCATGTAAGAAGAGAAAGGAAGCTGAAGTAAGATATTCCCACTCTATGAATTTTGACAACTATATTTTTTATAAAAAAACTGCTGCTGAAACATTAAAATTATTATCCGGGAAGAAAAAGGCTGGATGGCTTAAATTCTGTGAGTCACTGTCGCCTAGGACCCATCCATCATTAGTCTGGAAAAATATAAAAAAATTCCGATGTTCAGTTTTGACCTCTGAAAACACAATTTCTAATGATCAGTCTTATTGGCTAGAAAATTTTGCTAGTAATCTTGCTCCTCCTTCAGTACCATCTTACAATGAATGTATAGCATTTCAATCACAGTCCTTGCACTATCAACACAGTTTTGACGCCCCTTTCTCTTATGAGGAGTTATATGCTGTTCTTAGTGTCCTTAAAGACTTCACCAGGAATTGATGGAATTCCTTATTCTTTTATTACTAATAGCAGTGAACCTATTAAAGTCCATCTTCTTTCTATTTTGAATTGTATTTACATGTCTGGTATTCCTCCAGAAGAATGGAAATCCCAAGTTATTTTACCTATTTACAAACCAGGTAAGCCTTACACTGATCCCTCAAGCTACCGCCCTATCGCTCTTTCTTGTACCATGGCCAAAATCCTTGAACACCTAATTAAAAATCGTTTAGAATGGTTTCTTGAAAGCAAACACCTTCTAGCAACAAGCCAATTTGGATTCCGAAAGGGCTTAAGCACCATGGATAGCCTTAGTACTCTAGTTACTGATATTCGTTTAGCTTACTCTAAACATGAATACCTTGTTGGAGTCTTCCTAGATATCGCGTCTGCATATGACAATGTACTTCTTCCTATGCTCAGGCAAAAAATGCTCAATCTGAGTATTCCAGTGAGGATAGTAAATTTTGTCTCTAACTTTCTCTCTTCTAGATCCATTTATATTGATAGTCAACATTCTCTACTCCCACCAAGAATAGTATGGAAAGGTCTCCCACAAGGCTCAGTACTTAGTCCTTTGCTCTATTCTATCTATACTTATGATCTAGAGCTTTCTGTTAACTCATTCTGTAACATCCTCCAATATGCAGACGATATAGCTATATATATTTCCTTGGATAACCTCCCTGCAGCTTGTTCCCGCTTGAATTTATCAATGTCCTATTTACATGATTGGTTAACTGATCATGGTTTGTCTTTGGCTGTTCCCAAAAGCAGTGTTGTGATCTTCTCTCGCCATAGGCAACTCCCTGAAATCAACATTCTCTATAATAATGAACCTATCCCAATTAGGGAGAATGTAAAATTTTTTGGGAGTTATTCTTGACTCCAAACTAGCCTTTTCCCATCATATCAACTATGTTTCCAAAAAATGTGAAAAAAATATAAATATTCTTCGAGCTTTATCGGGAGTTTGGTGGGGCTCCCACCCATTCTCTCAAAAATTATTGTACAATGCCCTTATTCGTAGTCATTTGGATTATGGGTGCTTTGTCTTGAAACCCTGTAATAAGTCTTCCCTAAAGAATCTAGATAGGATTCAGGCCAAAAGCCTTCGTATAATCATTGGGTCAATGAAATCTTCCCCAATAAATGCTCTCCAAGTCGAATGTGTAGATCCCCCCTCTTTACCTAAGAAGACAATATCTTTCGGACCGATTCTTTTTTAAAATCTACCAACTCTCTTCCCACCCGCTCATTTCTAAATTACACCTTCTTTTGGAATATATTTCATCAAAGCATTACTGGACTCATAAAGAATCTCCCTGCTTATCCAACAGTTTGGTAACATTACTCCATCTACCACACCCAGTATCACAATGCAAGTCCTGTCCCATCTTTGATATCCCATATGATGCAATTATTTATCAACCAAATATCCACCTCGACCTTGGTATTGAGAAAGATTGCCCTATAGCAAATAGTAAACTAAGTAGAGTCATAGATAACTTATGGAAAGGCTGGCTTATTATATACACTGATGCCTCCAAAAAGTCAGGTGAAAGTTGCACTGGAGCAGCCGTTTGGATTCCCAGATACAAAATAATCCTCAATTTTAAATGCCCTTCTATTTCTTCCACTTTTACTGGCGAGGCCACGGCAATTTATGAAGCTTTAATTTATATAGAAGCACACAACCTAAATAAGTCAGTTATTCTTACTGACTCCAAAAGCTGTTTGTTAGCAATTTTGTCAAACCAGTTCCAAAGTAAATATAAGATACCCTTGATCCTCAAAATTAAACACACATTGTATACATGCCATCTCAAGGGTATTCAGGTTTCCTTAGCTTGGATTCCAGGTCATAGTGGCATCAAGGGCAATGAAACAGCTGATCTGATGGCTAAAAATGCAAGTCGAAATGGTTTACCATGTAATTTAGTTTACTCTTCAGACATAGTGTTACTTGCAAAGAAGAAGTTAAATAATAATTGGAATACATTATGGAAAGCCACTCAAAATATAAAAGGTAAACACTATGCTGCTATACAAGGTGCCATTCCTCCAAAACCATGGTTTTTCAAATTTAATAAAGCTAACAAACAGTCAACATCAACTATCTGTAGACTTCGAATTGGCCATGCTTGTACACCAGTACATTTAGCCAAACTGAGGATTAGGGACAGTTCCCTCTGCGAATGTGGGTTAGATGAGGGAACTTCTGACCATATTTTATTTAACTGTCCTAAATTATCTTCTTCACTCTATGATCACCTCCCTCCTGACATCCCTCGTCCTATAAATTTTGATTCACTTTTAACCTACACAAACACTCCTTATGTATATATTCTGTGTGATTTTATTAACTCTAATAGTATAAAAGTTTAATGTTTGTCAATACTAATATACTAAAGTAATTATAGCAACTGTGTTTGTCATTTGTCCTAGGTAATTCAACAGTACAACCACTAGTATTATAAGATAAAAAGGAAAATTTAATTGTTGAAATAAAACAAGACACTTGTATTATCACAATCTTCTTTAGTTCATGGGCATAGTATTTGTAACTACTGAGCTTGTACTCAATAAACACTTCCACGCTGACATTGGCGAATAATCGAAAACCGCCAAAAAAAAGAAAGAAGAAGAACTATTTTGTAACCATTCACATTGTAAAATTTATTTTTAAACAAAAGTTCCGCTGGGTCTCTTGCTGGTTCTTCCCAGGACGGAGGTTTTTTCGAACCAGTGCTAAAGTAAAAAATGACTTTCAATGAGAATTGCATGTAATCAATATCAAATAAAAAATTATTCTTTTCTATTCTATTCACAAAATGTTTTTTTTTTATTCTGGTTTTATTTAGGGATTTTTGTTCGTTAACATGTCAATCCCATTAAAGCTAACTTAAAATCTATACATTTGTTATTAACCTGCACATACTTAATGCAATATCCGAGGTGGGGGCATGTAGGATGCTCTGAGCAACACCTATATTGTACACATTTATATTATATGTTCTTACAAATAATTCCCTTGCACCTCGGTTGCGCTCACATTCCATTAAAAAATGATGTATGTCTTCAATTACTCCACAAATTTCACAGTTAGGTGAATCAGCTCTTAATCACTCATCAAGCACAAAATGTTAAAATGAAATGTTAGTGTTTCTTTGTGTACTAATTACATTAAAAATAAATAAACCAAACTCCAGATTCACGCTTGGCAGGCGGATTGGCAACCATATATTTTATAGTTTTCAGTTGTTATCCGGAAGATGCTGCTGCCCATCCCCTGTTTCAGTATCCCTCTGTCGCCTCTTACGACATCTTCGGGACCATAGAATACTATAATACATACATAATAGAACGGGGGTGTGGGCGGAGCCCGCGTAGCCACTAAAATGTCACTAACACGTCAATTCACACGTATAAATGTCAACACGAGATGTGTTTTGACATTATGATAGTTTCCAAATTTCGCATGCAAATTATTTAATAAATGCCAAATTGCACCCTATTTACAAATAAATATGTATTAAAATTTAAACGATTTATTTTTTAAATGATGGTCTTGAACATTAATCAAACGTCTAAAATGTGTAAATTTATTCAGTCTGTCAACACAGCGAATAGGGTTTGGTGATGCCCTTTCTCGTACAAAATAAAGTTGACAGCCATTTTATTGTGTATTATAGTATTCTATGTTCGGGACGATATGAGATAGTGAATATTATTACGCTGCCACTACACGGTTTGTTGCATACATTACTTTGTTCTTAAACTAACTGCACTGGAAACATTGTCCGCAGCATCCAACAGTAGCAGTTCGAGCAACTACAGACAGTCCAGGCCAGCTCCGGCTAACGGCATCGAATCCCTCATCCAGGCATCCGTGTTGGCTGAGGAGGAACAGCCCGTGAATGCTACGTATGTATTAATATAAAGCGGCGCTGTAGACGCGTCGTAAATTTCTAATATCGTATGCGCACTGAACAACATTCGGAGACTAAATCATGCTATCAAAGATTCCAAAATCTTCTATATATTATTTAAATCTTTTTGCATTTCTATGTGGAGCTTTTACTGATTTGTGTGTTAAATAAATTACCTGGAGAAGAGATTTCCCTTTTTGCATTTAGGACCAAATATATTTAAACAAGATTTCTTCAATAATTACATACTATTTTATTGTAATGTATAAGTAAGCTGGAGTTTTCAACTTTACCTATTATTTCTGGTACTTTATGCCTGTCATCATTATCATCCTAGCCCGTAATAAGTCCATTGCTAAAAATATGTCGCCTCTTACATCCATTGACTTCGTACATCTTTTAACAGGCTGCCACTGCAATTAGTGGGAGACAACCTTATATTTTTCTTACCGTTATTCGATAAATAAGAGGGTAGTCGTATATAACGTTATCATAATTATTAAATATTTCTAATGCTTCATTGCCACTTAACACCAATGGCATTCTCGATTTTTTCTGTCGTTAGGGCGGCGTTATTTAGGAATTAGATAAAATATTTAACATATTTCACGTAAAATATTTAACATATTGTTATTAGATTAGAGATGGATAAACTAAACTACTACTTTCAACTGCGAATTAATGCAGAAAATACACATATCTAATACACAAAATATAGTATAAACCATTTTATTGACTTGACTTACACACTATAGAAAAAGAACATTGGAAATCACACAAAATTTACGCCTAACCTAGTCAATTTGTATGTAATTATTTGTATATATATATATATATATATATATATATATATATATATATATATATATATATATATATATATATATATATATATATATATATTAACTCGACAGAGGCGACAATTTTTACTGTGTGGGACTGTTTGATTACAGACTATTATGTGTTTGACATTTGCAGTACTTAAACAATGTATGTTTTATTTAATTTAATAAATTTTAGGTTTGTGCACTGTTTCTTCATATGAGCTTTAACTATGTGAAATCTCACAATCCTCCATGTGTGCAATATGCTTAAAAAAGGGGGTACAAAGGTTTCCCTTCACTTAATATGCCTCTATGAACATGATCATGATGCATTGTTTCCACTGTGCAGCGAGGACGCAGCGGTGGCGGGCATGCTCAGCATCAGCGAGCAGTACGCTGCACCCTCGCGGACCTTCGGGCTGGCCGCGGACTCGCAGCGCGCCCCCACCACTTCCAGGCACGAAACGTACGTTGCTTCTCCTTATATAGAACTGGCTGATCCCCGTGACGTCGTTCGCGTGAAATTTATTACGATAAAATTTCATCGATTTTTATTTTATAGCGCGGAGTCTTAATTCCTTTTCTAAAATTAAAGTAATCTTAATATTATTGAAATATCTTAATAATTTATATATAACAAAATCGGTCCATTCGTTTCAGATATAAGAACTAATAATAATAATAATGTGCTCCCGACCGAATTTCGGTCACGGCGGCCAGCTTCAACGGAGGCTAGCCATCGGCGCAGGACAGGATTATAGTGCCCAAGTGTATGCGCAACCACAGGTGCACTCTCTATTCCCTCACACTCATAATCCGATGGGACGGTAAACCGACACGACCGGAGAGAGATCAGGCGCAGGACCAACGGCTTTACGTGCTTTCCGAGGCACAGGGGTGAGACACCGCCAACTTCCTGACTCCGAGCAACTACTGAGAATTTCGTTGACAGAAAAACTCAATAATTAATTTTTGGGCCGACCCGGGATTCGAACCCAGGACCTCATGATCAGCAGTCGCAATACTACAACCACTAGACCAACGAGGCAGTCGAATATAAGAACTATATATACTTTCATATGTACGAGCATGTAATGCAACATACAACTCTTAAGTCATCATTGCACAACTTGACCTCTTTTACATATTTCCGCGGCACAGGTATTTTAAAATCAGTTTGCCTATAGCCGTAAAGAGCGCTACGCGTACTCATTATTAGTAGTTCTAGCCTTTTATTTTGTAAACTTATCCACAATATATTTTATCAATCGTTATCGGTCTATCATCCCTTTAGTGTCAGTACTACCCCAAACACATATGCATTTAGTAAAAAGCTGTTATATAGATATTATAAACAGATAAAACAATTTTATTTATTTCTATAAATGAAGGTGACACATTGGTACACAGTCCACCTGATGGTATTTGAACGCCGTGGCTCTAAGATATCCAGATCTATGCATTTGCGATGTTACCCCTGAGAATTAAGATAATAATGCCACTTTTCCAATAAATAATGTCTCCGATTCTCTACATTCAGCATAGTAGAGTCACTCTTCAGCTATATTATGACCATGCTGTCACAGATAATAGCGTAAAATTGCAGTTTAATGTTGCTAATGGCGCGTATAGAAACTCAGAGACTGTTGTTACTGAAAATGAAGCATTCCATCTTAGTTCTCAGGTTTGACAACGCATCTGCATTTTGATTCTTAATCGGGGATAGATGTAGATGTCTATAGACCACAGCATCCACTTATCGTCAGGTGGACTGTTTGCTCGTTTGTCACCCTCGTTTTGTAAAAAACATTCTGTAGTCTGATATTTAATTCTTCAATACACTTTGTCTTGGCACGTGGACATAAACCTTTCTAACCTATTCACTATTATTTCAGCACTACATCAAATGGTAAGCGGGCGCGGAAATCTACGGCAGCAGTTAGCAGCGCTGAAGAGGACTACGCTGATGAAGAGGATGTCATCAAAGAGGTCCACAGGGATGAAGAGTATGGTAAGCGATACAAAAATAAGTTTAAAAAAACGTGTACAGTTCACAAGCCGTAGAAATCACACCTTCAGAAAAACACTGTATACTGCATTCTGTCTGACTTTCGCTGGCTAAATCCTATAGATGTGTAAACACATCCACAGAATCTAAGGATATCTTATATTTAACCAAATATCTAAAAATCTATGAAGAATTTCGTGATTTAGTAAATGTAAGAATGATAGGTTATTTTCAGGTGTCGGGACTTATTTTCACGCAATATGCTATCTAGTATCCATTCCAAATATCTGTTTATCTGGGACCATCCAGGTATCAAATTTTGTTCCAGTGTATCCATCATTAGAAATGAGCTCGGACGATGATGAGGAGTGGACTTCTTCACGGCGGCGGAGAAATTCCCGGAATAGGAATGACGGGAAGACAAAGAGTGATAAGTGAGTTTTTCTTAGCCGTTCGGTTTTCGTATCGAAATAAATTTAATGTAAATAGAATAAAAATAAATTTAATGAAATGTAAATAGTGTACATAATAATAGTGTAGTAATTGGGTGATTACAATTATTTGTCTTTTTTAGCATTCCTAAGTCATTTGTGGTCTGAGATATCTTTTTTCTCATAAGAATATACATCTACTCACATGAGAATAATTTAAATAAGTAAATTACAAACTTTTGGGAATAATTGCACAAGCTAAATAACAAAATAATTTTATCAATTCTTTTGACGGTAGTAACTTAACTGTTTGTTCGATACTTGTGCTGGAATACAAGTTAATATTGTTACAAGCTTGGGGTTTGTGACAATAAAAACTGCCGATTGAATTACCAAAATTGACACTTTAATTATGGAACACCTAAAACCACTGACCTCTATATATACAAGTACGCTGGACTGGCTATTATACACCGTGACATGATGAAGCGATTTTATTTCCGCCATTTTGGCGCTGACAGCAGAAGTCCACACGTACGTCCACGGAACTAATAATGGGGATGAGACAGTGTACCAAATTATATCGATAAAATTCTATACCCTACCTATACCTAAATAGAATGGACTTTATGTATAGATGGAATCTACCCGTAACGTCCATTCTATTTATGTATCATATTAATGTAATGCCATTATCATTCATCATCATTAAAGCCCTTCACAAGTCCACTGCTGAATATAGGCCTCTCCCAAGAGAATAGAATGCCACAAAGCACGGTCCTGAGCCACCTGCATCCATCAACTTCCTGTATGTCTTACCAGGTTTTGACTCCATCTAGTGTGGGAACACTTCACCTGCTGGTATGAGGCTGCCAGTCGAGAACCTTTTTTCCCCAACGGTATTCGGTTCTTCGAGCTATATGGCCGGTCAATTGCCACTTCAGCTTACTAATCCATTGGGAGATGTCGGTCACTCTGGTTCTGCTGCAGATATCCTCATTCCTAATTTTCAACCCCTGAGCATAGCTCTTTTCATAGATCGCTGATTGACTTCGAGCTTCCTCATACGGCCAGCAGTGAAAGACCTCGTCTCAGATCCATAGGTCATCACTGACACCGACTGACGAGAAGATGTGTCGTAATCTCCCGAACGCTGCCCAGCCGAGCTGAACCCGTCGATTGACCTGTCGGTCAAAGTTGAACTTACCTAGTTGAACTATTTGTCCCAAGTAAAAATACTCATCAACAACTTCAGCTAAGTGCTCCCAAAAACCACCGGCATATGTGTGACATGGACATTACACATGACTTTTGTTTTGTCCATGTTCATCTTAAGACCTATCCGTTGGGAGACACTATTGAGGTCATTGAACATAGTGCGTAGGTCCTCCAGCGATTCTGCCATAAGGACTATATTGTCGGCAAATCGAAGGTGAGTGACGTACACGCCATAGACGTTCATACCGTATCCTTTCTAGTCCAGTAGCTTGAAAACGTCTTCCAATGCATCAGTAAAGTATTTCGGGGATGTTACGTTACCCTGTCTTACACATCTCCACAGTTGGATTAGTTTTGTACTCTAGTTCTGTACTCGGATAGCCCTTAGACCATTCAACTAAAAAATTATTAAGATTAAACACAAAATAAAAATAAAAACATAATTTCTAAAATAATTTATTGTCAACCGTTTATTTAGTTCTAGTATTATAAAAAACAAATCAGCTGCTATAATAACGCCTATTCTACTCAACTACAGGTCTGTCTATTGACAGTAAAATATTTTCTACTATATAAAAATTTATGTTTGTTCGTACTTTCTACGATGCTATACCGTTCATCAGATTGCGGTAAAACTTAGTCAACTTGATTAAAACTACTTTTACGGATTTTATCGCGTTTATTTTTACTTTTTATTTACTTTTATTTTTAATTCCCGACGTTTCGGGCGCTTTTCAGCACCCATGGTCACGGGGGACTGAGATGACTGACGTCCCGATGTCATTGTTAAACCCGGAGTACCTTCAGCTTTTTTAATTATTGTTTATGGTCCGATCTATGCAAAATGAACTGACTATGTCCTGAGGTCTTGCAGTGGTATGCTTGGGTTTAGTTTTAATTTTATTGATTATAGGATCCCAAGCAGGTGGTAGTACCCAGCCTCCTTCTCTATTGAAATTAGGATGTTTTTAATTTCAATAGCCTCACGTATCATCCTTGGTAGGAATCGGTGTTCTTTCGCGAGGATTTGTGGTCTATCAAATCTGATGTAATGGTTGGGTCCGTCTAGGATATGATCACAAACTGCAGACTTCCCGGAACGTTGATGCTTCACATCAGCTATATGTTCTTTTACGCGGGTCCTAATTGATCTTTTTGTTTGTCCTATATAAGAGAGACCACATTCACAATCAAGCTTGTACACTCCTGCATCTTGTAGAGGAATATGACACTTGACGGATGGTAGGAACTGACTAATCTTCTTCGGCGGCTTGTAGAATGTTCTAATAGAAGCTCGCTTCAAGATATAGCCAATCTTGTCTGTGACACCTCTGACATATGGTAGTACAGCAGGCACACGCTCGACTGTGGCCGGCTTCACTCGGTCACTGTGACGTAGGCGCGGGACCCGAAGCTTGTTGTCGTGCAGAACTTGCTTGACGTGCTGAAGCTCGGCGGCCCGGTGTTTGCTGTCACAGATCCCTCGTGCTCTCGGTAACAAAGATTTGCCCACGGTAGCTAACTGTGAAGGATGGTGGTGAGATTCACCGTTTAAATATCGGTTTGTATGGGTCCTTTTCCTATACACAGTGTGACCAATGGTGTTATTAGGATTTCGGATGACTAACACATCTAGGAAAGCTAAGGAATTATTTGCCTCTAAGTCCATAGTAAATTGAATTTTAGAGTTTATGGAATTAAGATGTTCTAAAAATGCAGTTACTTTGTCTGATGGTAAAATTGTGAAAGTATCGTCTACGTACTGCTTGTAGATCCTTGGTGTAACAGGTGCAGTAAGGAGGGCTTTCTCCTCAAAGTCTTCCATGAATATATCGGCGACAGTGGGAGATACAGATGAGCCCATCGCAACACCATCTACTTGCTTGTAAAACTCTTCCTTCCACAATAGATAGCCAGATGTAAGGCAATATCTTAGTAATACTGCATATTCTGCTGGCATGTTATTTTCCTCTATGTGCGGCAGCAATGCGCCGTGCTACGAGCTAGCAAAATAATATAAAAAAAATATAAACTTTGAATTGCATAGTTATCAGATATTTACGTCATTATCGAAATAACAATATTAAAAAAAATAACAGAAATTATTCCTCCTTATTTATATTAAATTTCCGTGGTATCGTCCCAAGAATGCTGGCTACGTGTCCTCTCTGAATGGTTATACTTAGCCTTCAAGCGAGGAAAAAACAAACTTAACAACTTCCTATTACCAGCAGCGAAGATCAGTCGCAGATACAGTTTTTTAGGAACTACACCGCACGTGCACCCTACGGACCAATAGTCTCTACAGCAAATTGCACAAACATTTAGTCATCTTCTATATATTCTGGGCTATTTACTTAGTTCAGTTGCCTCTAATGCGACTTCTGCTTTAGACAAGGTACCCCTGAGATGGGATGCTGTCAAAGTGTTCGCAAGTAGTATCCCACACTAAAGCTTTATCTCTTTCTCTCTCAAGCAATCAGAATGAAAAAGAACCGTACCGTCGGTCTCCTGGTATCGTCTCTAATATTCTACAAAGATCTTAAACCGAGGAAATATTTATAGAGATACGAGCTCTTCGGATGACATTGTCCAAGAACTAAGGACAACATTATATTAAAGAATACCATAATAACCGTGTATTAAGGATGGATTCGACCAAATACTATGTTAAACCAGAGTAACTAACCCTCGAATAATTTTACTCTTTGGTCTTACACCAAGATAACTTCATTTTGCGTTTTGTAATACAAATTAACACTCAACACTCCTCTTCCCTTACGACTCCACCTCGACTACAGCGGTACAGGGAGAGGAATTTCCTCTAGCCGCAGCCCACTAAAATACATACAACGTGGCTCGACATCATCAGGCGACCTTTCGACACTTGACTATGGCCCTTGAGTTTGGTGAAAAATGAGGAAAGAAGAAATAAAAAAGAACTATACTGCACTTTTTCAAAGTGGTGCAGTTCTCATGTCTAATAAAACAGTCGTCAGTGAAATGTTTGGAACAAATATGATCACTTTGTTTCAGACGCTAATTCACAATATTTATGCTTTTAAGCCATAATTTTAATCTAGGTTCACTTGGAAACCTGTTAATTAATAAACATTTGATAATCGTCTGTTGTTGGCGACTTTGTTTGTTAAAAGATTTGGGTAGAAACTTTTGTAAAGAACATCGATAAATATTATAGACAAGGAACTCGACAACCCTATTGAATTTTATTGTTTATCAAAACTCAGTAATATACAGCCAAAGATGTTGGTATATCTGATATTAAGATTAGTAACAAATTTTTAAGTACTCATATTATAAAATAGTGTTGCGCGCCTAAGTTGACGTCTGGCACTAGCGCCATCTGTGTCGGTTAACGGAGCGAGGAGAGCTTTCCAGAAAATGACATCACTAATCTTTCAACCGACAGCGCCATCTAGTATCGAAACGAAGAATTAAGCCTCTAGAAGCCCGACACTCGAACTTTCGGCGCCTAGTCGATTGGGGCGCGTATTTACTTGATTATTCTGGATGTATTTACTTCCCGTATTGAATTTGGCGAGACAAGCGAAGCTTCGGAGCGAAATAAAGTGAATCAGTGTGGTTAATTATTAGTGTTCTAAGTTTTAATTGTTTTTGGGTAATAAAAGTGTAAATTTTGGTAATTCAATCGGCAGTTGTTATTATCACGAACCTCAAGCTCGTAACAATTGGTGTCAGAAGTGGGATCAAATCATGCTGAGCAAAGCATGCTTTACCGAAGGAGGAATCGGAGGGTGTCCGTA